AGCCAGGGAAGGCGAGAGGCGGGGCGGCGGGAGGCGCCAGGGCTGCGCGGCGGGGCGGGGGCCCGGGTCTCCCGGGAGGAGCTGGGGAACACCGGGCGCCTCTCGCGGAGGTGCACGCCAAGTTCTCGGGTGAGTGTGCACGCGTGTGAGCCGGCCCGAGGAGCACGGGCGGGTGTGAGGGCGAGCACACGTGTCGGGTGTGCACTCGCGTGCGCTCTGGGGCCCTTGCCTGGCCCTCTGCGCCCCGCGCCCCTCCCGGCCGCCCGCCGCAGCTCCCGCCACTCCCGCCCCGCGCCGCCCGCCCGCCTCTCGCTCGGTCCTCGCCCGCCACGCCGCAGTCGCCGCCGCCGCCCAGCCTGCGCCCGCGGGCCGCCCGTGCCGGGCACCTGTTGGAGGCCCAGGGACAGGTGCGGGGGCCGGGCCGGCCAGGGGAGCGCGGGTGAGGGCGAGAGGAGGAGACAACCGAGGCAGGGGGGTTCCCACGTTGGTAGAGCGATCGGCCCGGGTTAGGGACTAGGTAGGCAGGCAGAAGCTTGGGCTGAGTGAAGAGAAGCCTGGAGAGGTGGCTGACACCCTGGCCAGCCCCCGCGCCTGATGGAGAAGATGGCCAGAGCCTCAGAGCAGCAACGGAGGGGAGCTGTGGGGTCCCTGGAGGTTTGAGGGGATGGGAACAGAGGGGGAACCCAGGATGAGAGGAAAGTCCTGGAAAGGTGACAGAGGAACAGTGTACAGGCAGTGGGCAGGGTTAAGGGCAGTCACGACCTGTCTGCCAGGACTCATCTGGCAACTCAGCCAGCCCCTTGGGAGGCCTCCTGTCTGCCCACCAGCTAGCACAGATCACCTCTCCCTTGACACCCAGGAAGGGAGGGCAGTGAGGTTCCTTCAGACCCCAGCCAGCCACTCCAGCTCTACATCCGTCTCCCAGCCAGAGGTGCTGCATGAGGGGCCGTAGGGGCGATCGCATGACCATCAACATCCAGGAGCACATGGCCATCAACGTGTGTCCTGGACCCATCAGGCCCATTCGCCAGATCTCCGACTACTTCCCTCGCAGGGGGCCAGGACCAGAGGCTGCTGCCGGCAGGGGCTGCGGGGAAGCCCCAGCTCATCTGGCCCCTCTGGCTCTGGCCCCCCCTGCGGCTCTCCTTGGGGCCACCACACCCGACGATGGAGCTGAGGTAGACAGCTACGACTCAGATGATACCAGTGAGTCTGGGGGCTCAGCGGGCTTGTGGGAGGGAGCAGCCTCCCGAGTGTGTGTGTGTGTGTGTGTGTGGAGGAGGGTGGGGAGGAGGGTGGGGAGGAGGGAGGACAGTCCTGCCACCACAGCTGCAGTCTGGGTGCAGATTACAGCTTCAGCAAGGCTCAATATTCAATATTTCTGCTGAGACACTCCACCACCCACACAGTCAGTTGCGGCCGAGCCAGGGACCTAGACGCAGGCATGCACACGGCTGCTCAGCCTCTTGCGCGCACACACACACACACACACACACACACACACACACACACACACACACACACACACTGGCAGGCCAGTAGAGATGTGGACGCATTCTTCTAGCCACTAGGTCTCACATACTTGACTTGGACCAAAGACTCACCCTACCTTTTTTTTCCCTCTTCTCTTCCCTTTTCTGCAGCTGCCCTGGGCACGCTGGAATTTGACCTTCTCTATGATCAGGCTTCCTGCACTCTGCACTGTAGAATCCTCAGGGCCAAGGTGCATCCCTCCTTCCTGGGCTGCTACCCTAGGGTGGGGGCTCCATCGTCCCCCAACCAGAGCAGACTCCTGCATCTCTGGAACTGTACTCTGTGGGACTCTAGTCCTGCAGGAGGAGGGAGAAAGGCTTGGGAGTCTAAAGTTCCCTTTGCACCTCCCCCCCAGGGCCTCAAGCCCATGGATTTCAATGGCCTGGCTGACCCCTACGTAAAGCTGCACCTCCTCCCTGGAGCCTGCAAGGTATGTCTCCTTCCAGGATTGGCTTGTCTTATGGGTTGTTCCTCCCAGCCCCCACCTGCAGCCTTTGGGGCCCCAGGGTCCATGCATCAGAGCCCTTTGTCCCCATGCCCCAGGCCAATAAGCTAAAAACTAAGACTCAGAGGAACACACTGAACCCTGTGTGGAACGAGGAGCTGACGTACAGCGGAATCACGGATGATGACATCACTCACAAGGTGCTCAGGTGAGGGCTTTTCCTCCAGCCCAGCACCTCTGGGATAGCTGCCATTGCAACCTTTGGCTGGTCCTTCTCCCTATGCCCCATTAAACCTGTTTAGCAACACTCCACAAGAGTCAGTGGCTGCCAAGCTCCCTCAGCAGCAGGGCCAAACGTTCCCACTGGTCTTTAGCAGAGGACTATTGGTTTGGCAGCTGAAGGCCTTATCAGGGGTGCCGAATGTGCTCTTGGCTTCCTCCGCCCAGTTCAATCTTTGATCGCAGACTCAGCCCCAAACCTGCCTCTGGAAAGGTTTCTCTGCTCTCCAAGACCCCTCCTCAGAGCCGTTGGCTTCGGTTGTACCTACACACCTCAGGCTGCCCATCCTGTTCCACATCTACCTATGTTCTCCGAGGAGGAAAGTCTTCCCAGTCAGGGAACCTGCCCCGTCACCCTAGGTGTGAGAAGTACCCCCAAGAGGAATGCGGCCACTGAGTTCAGGTCCGGAGAGACCTCGTCCTTTATTCTTGGGTAATAGGGAGCCACAGAGGGTTTCTTATCACAGAAGCATGGTTGTCAGAGCTGTGCTACAGAGCTCACCTTGGTGTCAGAGGTGGGAGACCAAGGCAGAAGCAGCAAAGTGGCCTCATGTTCCTCAGGGTAGACAATGAAGCCTCAGGGTTGCAGAGGGCAGTTTTTGTTTTGACAGGGGCAGCCCAGGCTAGCCTTGAACTCAGATCCTTCTGCCTCAGCCTTCTTAGCGCTTGGCTCACAGTGTGCCACCATAGCCTGTTATTAGGGAGCATTTCTTTGCTTTACCTCAGGAGAGCTTTAGAAGGTGGGTATGCTCTCACTTTGCAGGTGGGCAGTTAGGTGACTTGCCCGAAGTCACACAGGTAATAGGCAGGGCTGGAATCTCAACACATCTTCATACCATAGTTACTCATCCCTTAACCCTGTACTGCTGCGTCTGGACAGGCTGGCTCCCTGCTCCAGCAGGAAAGAACGGGCCACCCAAGTCAACCAGGAGTTCTTGGCTGTGTAAAGCAGCTAAACGCCCACTGGGGACTACCACTGCTGTCTGTGGCCACACCCACCCAGCCAGCCACACCTGTGGGGTTCAGTTGGCACCTGTCCCCAGGTGGGGAATGGAGTTACAGAGCTGTGAGGGCTTCCTGTGCAGCTGGGTAATTCCTGATGGCTACAGGGCAGATCCAATAGCCCTTCTCAAGCTTCCACCCCCTTTACAGATGAGGTGGCAAATTTAGGGCAGAGCTGGGACTGGTCCGAGGACCTTTTTCTCCCTCCGGAGTGGGGCTCAGATACCCAGGGGCCCTGACCCTGCAGTTCCCTGCCAGGATCTCTGTCTGTGACGAGGACAAGCTGAGCCACAATGAGTTTATCGGGGAGATCCGCGTGCCCCTTCGCCGCCTCAAGCCTTCACAGAAGAAGCATTTTAACATCTGCCTTGAGCGCCAGGTCCCGGTCGGTGTGTGGCTAATGGGTATGGGGGAGGGCATCTGGAGAGGTCAGCTTGCCAGAACCTTTTCTTTGGCCCTCAGCTTCCTTCACCCTCCTCGATGTCTGCAGCGCTGAGGGGCATTTCCTGTTACCTGAAGGAGGTGAGGCACATCCTGAGAACTGTGTCTGGGTGGGAGAGGCCCTACACCGACCTCTGACCCCTGCATCCTTTTCTGGCAGCTAGAGCAGGCAGAGCAGGGACCTGGGCTGCTGGAAGAGCGCGGGCGCATCCTGCTGAGCCTCAGCTACAGCTCTAGGCGGCATGGGCTGCTGGTGGGCATTGTTCGCTGTGCACACCTGGCTGCCATGGATGTTAACGGCTACTCTGACCCTTATGTGAAGACGTGAGCCCTTACCCAAGCCTGACCCCAGCCTAATTGCTCTGGGGCTTAGCCTGTGCCTAACTTCACGGTTCCCCTTCCTCCATAGGTACTTGAGACCAGATGTGGATAAGAAATCCAAGCATAAAACATGTGTAAAGAAGAAGACTTTAAACCCAGAATTTAATGAGGTAAACATGACAGGGAGCAGAAATAAAGATGGGCTGGGGACAGCCATGTGGTTAGAAGGCCTGACAAGGCACCACCTGCCTTGTTCTCAGGAATTCTTCTATGAGATGGAACTCTCCACTCTGGCAACCAAGACCCTGGAAGTCACAGTCTGGGACTACGACATTGGCAAATCCAATGACTTCATAGGTGAGTGGAGGGGCCCACCAGGTTCTGGGAGGGAAGTGAGGCAGGAGAATGGGCACTGATGGGCTCTGCCTGACTTGGGTGTTCTTCAGGTGGTGTGTCTCTGGGGCCAGGAGCCCGGGGAGAGGCGCAGAAGCACTGGAGTGACTGTCTCCATCAGCCGGACACAGCCCTGGAGCGCTGGCACACCCTGACCAGTGAGCTGCCCGGGGCTTTCCCTCTGGCCTGAGTAGACAGCAGCTGCCCAGCACAGGCCCTTTGGGCCGGGTCCAGTACCCAACCTTCGCACGAGTGTGTTGCACGTTTACATGGGGTGGGCTGCCCCCTGCCCCACACTACCTGTCTTATTTTTGTGAGTCTGTGACGTGGGTCTGTCTTCTTGTGAGGACTGTGGAGAGCTATATTCACATATGCAAACTTTCTCCTGCCTGACTTGCTGTTACCTGCAAATATGCGACCACCCCATGCACAGGACCACGTGGGAGTCTCCTGCCAGCGCCCCGACCCCACCCTGCTACTCCTCTCTTGGCCTCTCCAGGCTGCCCGGCCCCCTGCTCCACAGGGAGGAGGTCGGATTACGGGAGATTAGAGGAGGACATTTCCAAAAGAGGAAAGGACAAGGAAAGAAAGAGCCAACCCTTTAATACAGAGCCTTCGTTAAAAGGCCCAGCCCTGCTCAGCTGCTCTTCTAAAGGAGTGGCCTCCACAGGGTCTCTGCCTCCCTAAGGTGTGGCAGATCCTCTTGGCCACCCATTTAAATAACTGTCCCCTGGATGGGGCTGGGATGTGAGGGCAGGCCTCTGCCACCTTCCTCGGGGACATTTGTGCATGTTTACGCCTTTTCTGATTGTGTCAGTGGCCGAAGCATGGCAACTGGGCATCAATAAACATCTCTTGAGGAAGTGGGCTCCAGTGTGCTGGCATGGCAGGAACACGGTGCAGGCTTGGCTGGCAGCACTGGGTGGCTACTCTGGGATGTCGATTACTAGGTCATCGTCTCCGTCCAGGGCATCATCCCCGCTGCCTGTATCGCTGAACATCTGCTGAGGGACGGTGCTCAGGATCGTGTGGGGGGGCATCTTGGGAGGAGGCAGGGGGGTCAGGGCTGCCCCAACACTGGCCCCAGAACCCCTGGCAGGGAAGGCCAGTGGCCCACCCACAGGGCAGTCAGGGGGTCCTACAGCCATCTGCAGTGGGGGAGAAACACAAGGAAGGCTTGTCAGATGCACTGGCACCAGGCACTTGCACAACGCCCACTCAAAGGCAGTTCAAGGGGTGGGGGAAGCCCACCGCAGCCCCTCAGTCTCAAGCCATGAAGTGCCTGGGGTGAGGGGCAGTGATGGAGGCATGATGGGGGTGGGGTGAGGGGAGGCTGACAGGGAACCTGACAGAAAAGTTGGGCTCTTCCCTCACGAGCAAGGCACCCTGGGTGCTCTGTGCCAGCTGTTAAAGCCACATTCAGGACTAGCTCAGAGTACTTTCCTCTTGCCTCTGGGCACCTTGGGTATCACCTGCCACCACTGGTCGGCTCTCCCTCCTCCTCCTGTGGGATTCACTAGTTCATGGTAGGCATCACAGGCTATCTGAGCCAGAAGCCTAAGCAGAAGCTTTGGTCCCCAGCTTCTATGGCATTGTGGATGAGCCCCTCCTTGGGACCCCAGCAGCCACCAGCCTGGGCTAGGCCCTCCTCTCAGCTCACCTGGTCTAGGTACCAGCCTCCTAACTGGACTCCCTGCCTTCAGCCTCTCCCAGCTCCAGCTCCTCCTCCACACTGCCGCCAGAGTGGTCAATCTAGAATACAAACCTGAGCATGTCACTCCTCTGCCTGAGGGTCTGGGCCTGGCTGCCCTCAGGACCGTCAGTGCAATGTGCCTAACAGGCCAGCCCCGCTCTAGTTGGCAAGGCCATGCTTTGTCCTCTGAGCTGACACATGGCCTCTGCTCTGCCAGGGCCTCACACATCCTCCCTCAGACTGCTCTCTGGGTACCATGACAGCTCATGTGCCGTGGGCACAAACTGAACACCTACTATGGCCCAGGTAACTTCTACCAATAATCTCTACTTTATAGGACTATCCGTGTGGAAACGGAAGTTAAAGGAATCGAATGCTAGTCCTCACTGGGCAGCACTCAAGGTGCCCCGGGACTGGGGCAGCAAACAACATCTATGTGTGGTCTCCACCATGGCCTGCTGGTCGCTTCTATGCCTGGCCCTGTGGCCTGCTCTCTGCTTCTCAAGGAGTCCCACCCTTACCTCTGCTTGTGCGGTGATGTGAGGGTGCGAGGGTAGGCAAAGCCTCAGGAAACATGGATGGCAGACAGGAGGACCAGCTCTGGGAAGAACCAGGACCCCTGTGCTGGTTTGAACGAGAATGCCCACCCCCATAGGCTCTTATGTTTGAATACTTGGTCCCCAGCTGGTCGAACTATAGATTTAAGAAGTCGGCCTTGTTGGAGGAGGTGTGTCACTGGGGTGAGCTTTGACTTTCCAAAAGCCTTCACTCTTCTCAGATGCTCTCATTCTCCCCACCTCTGCCTCATGGACACTAGCCCTCTCAAATCATAAGCTCCAAATAAACACTAGAGGTCGCCTTGGTCATGGTGTCACAGCAACAGAAAGGTAACCAAGACAACTCCCATGTGCACGGAGAAGCAGATGCATGTGCACATGACTAAGGAGGGCAGCTCCATGAGGACCAGGCCTCTGCTGGCTCCCCCTGTATCACCACCCTGCTCACTAAGAACTACGGTAACCAGGATTTCCTCAGTATGACCAAAACCAGCCAATGTGGCTCTATAAGCTGCCAGGGCCCAGGCACTGGCTAGGCGATGTTCTCCATCCCTCACTCATTTTAGCCTCTCATGCCCTCCATGACTGAGACAGAGTTCAGTGACATGCCCAAGGTCACATGGTGAGCATGGGAAAGAGCTGGGATTCACACCCAGCTGAGGCTAAAGCTCCAGCATTTGTGTGCCTTGGCCTTCAATATCTTACCTCTGTTCCCACTTGCCACCTCCTGTATTTCCCACCGAGGACACCTGGACTCAGGCCCTTCAGTGGTGGGTGCCTTCTGACTAAGTCTGTGTCATCTGCCATCCCTGTCATACTGCAGCTTACCTCCCCCATGTTCCTCTTTCCTCTCCCACTGCCACCTCAGCTGGGACTAGCCTGATCTTACTGACCCTGTGCTCTAACATTAACCCTTCCCTGATCCTCCCCACGCCCCACCTAAAGCAGTTGACTCTAGTCTTTCTCTACTAACCCAGTCACCACGTCTAAACATGCCAAACCTCTTACCTGTCCTAAAGGCTAGAAGCAAAATCTCTCAGGAAAGACCCGTGTGTTCTACTGCTTCCCCTAGTACTAGGGGTCAAACTTAGGGCCTTGAAAATGCCAGGCAAGAACTACTACTGAGCCACATGCCTAGTCCCCGGAGTTCATAATTAATCCCCAGGAGCTGGAGTACAGGAGGCTGTGAGCTGTTTGATGTGAGCTACTTAACTTGGGTTCCCTGGAAGAGCAGCAAACAATCTTAACCACTGGGTCATTTCTCTAATCCCTGGAATTCATTCATTCATTCACCCTTTCATTTATTTATTTTTTTCTCTCCCTCCCCATTCCCTCTTTCTTTGAGGATATAGCCCTGGCTAGCCTAGAACTCACTATGTAGACCAGGATAGCCTCAGACTCATAGAGAGTCATCTGCCTCTGCCTCCAAGAGTTGGGATTAAAGGTGTGGGCCACTATGCCAGCAGAATTCACACTCCTGGCCACTCCAAGTGCAACCTCTGCTGACTCTGCTCGTGGTGTCAGAGTCCCTACTCAACCTTGCTTCCCAGCTGACGGTCATGCCCATCTCCTTTCATCTTTGCCTCACTTCTCACCACTCCCGGGCCTTCATGGTCAGCCTTCTTCCCTTTTCCAGCCGTGCAGTCCTACGAAGCCTCAGCTCACACAGGCCACTGTCTAGTTAGCACTTCCAGATGCCCTCTTAACAAGTCCAAGGCCACTTCTCATCTCTCTTCTAAAATCAGCTTCACCCATCATCCTCATCTCCACTTCTTCACAGCTCAGGGAACAGGCCTGGAATCCTCCTGGGTTCCCTCCTCCCTCTCACAGCCAAACTGGGTCTCTGAGGAGACGCTGCAGCTCGTCTTAGACATGGATCGCCGGGGCTCTCTACTGGGTTCCTGTAGTCACTTCCTTCCCACCATCCTGACTCCTCCAGCCCCTCTACCCAGGCCTGTCCACACAGTCATGTTGCCCATGTGTCTAAAATGCAAGCTGAACTAGACCCTGCCCTGCTCACCTTGCCCAAGTGGCTCTCACTCCATCCCAGAATAAGCCTAGTCTCCTGCACCTTAAAGCCCCATTTGCTTCCCTCAGTGGCTGGGATAAAGGGCAGCCAGCATGCTCTGTTCCTCCTTGTCTTTCAACAAGCATGCTACTAGACTGAAACTCTTTCCCAAACACCTCATGGCTTGCTTCCTATATCCAGTCAATAGCACCCTAGATTATCCAGTCAATAGCACCCTAGATTATCCACCTCAAAAAATTCCATCACTCTTGCCAGGCAGTGGTGGCGCACGTCTTTAATCCCAGCACTCGGGAGGCAGAGCCAGGCAGATCTCTGTAAGTTTGAGGCCAGCCTGGGCTACAGAGCGAGATTCAAGGCAGGCACCAAAGCTACACAGAGAAACCCTGTCTATAAAAATACAAACAAAAAAAAAAACCCAACAAAAAAAATTCCATCACTCTCTTCATTTTCTCTACTAGCGTCAATCCATCTGATTTATCTTCTGCCAATTTTGCTAGAACAGGAGCTCTGTACAAGGGTTTAGCTGCCTGTTTGTTATGAGCTGCAGCACTCCAGGTAGGTTCTCAACACAGGAGGTGTTGGTTTTACCTGGTCTGGTCAATTTAGTCTAGGATACTTTCTTGAGGTCACACTGCTGTTCTGAACTGGGGGAGCCTTGATTCCACACCACAGTCCCAGCCCCAATAGTACCCAGGACCTGCACAAACAGGCTTCACTCCAGCCATGCTGCAGGGCCTGGCTGTAGAGCCAGGTTGTGAGGCATGACCTCAAGCAGCCTAACTTGGGAAGCCTTCCAAGACTGATTCTGCCACTGCCAGTGACCTTCTGTGCCCAGCCTTGGGCTGAGTCTTCGCATTTCAAACCAACCCTTCCAACTATGGTATCAGCTGGGGATGCAGCCCAGGTGGTAGGGCGCTTGCCTAACAACACGCGCGAAGCACTGGCCCCAACCCTCAGCACTGCATAGAGCAGATGTGCTGGGCACACGCCTGTAATCCTGGCTCTTGGAGAGTGGAGTCAGGAGAACCAAGAGTTCAAGGTCATCCTACTAGCTCATGCTACAAGAGGCCCTTTCTCAAACAGAACAAAACACCCAGTCTCTGTGCAGGCCTCGTCTTAAGCTTCCTTTAGATGAATGTCCTGCCTTTGTGGCCCCTCCCTACAGTCCCCACATCAGGGTACCTTGAGTTTCCGGGGTAGGCGGGGCCGTTTCTCCAGCTTGGGCCTCAGGGGGCTGGGCTCAGGCAGCTGCAGGGCCAGGTAGTCAGAAGGGAATGGGGGGTAAGGGGGAGAAGCCAGCTGCAGGTAGGAGTAGGAAGATGGAGATGGGAAATGGAGCAGGTAAAGGCGAGGGGCGAAGGGAAGAAATGTACACGGGAGAATGGAAAACAAAAGAGATGCTGATGAGTGTGGTTCCCAGGGCTCCTGCGAACGGGGAGGGGACAGCAGCAGGACTGGGTCCTGGGTCTGCCCCCAGCCTACACAGGAGAGAAGCAGGCACCTGACTCACACCCTCCAAAGGCTGCTCGCTGCCACATGTGGACACGCTCTGAGACCTAGCCCCTTCGCCCAAAGGATACCCACTGTATTCCCAGGCACGGGAGCGTACTGCCTCCTGGTCTTGATCCCAACTCACCGAGCTCAGGTATGGGGAGGGAGCTCCAGAGGGCTGCAGGGGAAATCCTGTTGAAGGAGGCAAGGAGAGGCTGGAAGGGGATGGGGTACCCCCCATTGGAGGGCTTCTCTTCCTAGAGAAGGGATAGGGAGAAGGGTCAGAGGCAGCTGGAAAGCCCAGATCTCCCACCCCTGCCCTGGAAAATGATGGCTCCTTCTTACCTCTTGGGGGCTGGTGTGTCAGACAACTTGGGCGTCCCCTCGGTCTCACTGTTATCTGAAGATGCAGTGGCATCGGAATCTGTGGGGAGGGCTGGTCAGTGGGGCTGTAGAGTCTCCCAGTCCACCTCAGAGGACTGTAAGCTCAACACTCCAGAAGGGTGCTAGGGAAGGAGCCTTCCCAGTTGGCACACATGCAAGCATGTGATTCTGGGGAGTCCTTCGGTTCTCACACCTACTTCCTACTTAGGTACCTATGTCCATGGCACACATGCCAACACTTGCCATATGCCAGGCTCCTATACGTACTCCTGGTCTTTTTAAGCACAGAAAGGGGAAGGGATGCACATCACATCTGCTTTCCGGATGGCCTCACCAAGCTCAGAAGGTATGTATGGAACCTGAACTCAGGTCTGTGGTGATTCTTTGACCATCTTAGGCCGCTCTTTAATGTGCCTCTAAGTAACTTTCAGCTTCTCCTCCATTTTTCTCATTCAGGGACCCACTAAAACACACCTTAAAACTCTTATTTTCTTCCTCTCCTCCAGATCTCAACTGCCACAAGTTCAGGCCACCAACATTTCAAAATCACCTGCTCAGCCATCTCAGCACTGTCTACCACCTACTGTTCAACCCAATGTACTAACTCTGTCCACAGGCTTTAGCAGTGTTTCCTACCTGTCTTCAGTCCACCTTAAGGAAGACTAAGGAAGGACTCGCCCCAGGGCCCCCCCCCCCCACACTCTGGCTAATTGCTTTACCTCAGAACTGCAATCATGGCCTCCAAGAGTACTCTTCACAGCGGCAGGCCCTCATTCTTCCAAAAGGAGATCTATTTCCTAGCTCAGTGTTCTTCCTAGAAGGCTTGCCTTTCACTTAGCAATCACTGTATTACTCAAATCCTTGTTTTATATTTGAGACACAGTCTCAATATATGTGTATCCCTGGCTGGCCTCGAACTCAGAGAGCTCCTCCTGCTATTGTTTCCCTAACATAATACTTCTTTATGTAGGTGTTTGTGTGTGAGTGTATGTATGTGCACCATGTTCATGCCCAAGCCTGAGGGAGCCAGAAGAAGGCACTCAACCCCCCGGAATAGAGTGAGGTAGTTGTGAGCTGCCATGTAGGTGCTAGGAACCGAACCTAGGTCTTTTCCAAGAGCAGTAGGTGCTCTAAACCACAGAGCCGTCTCTTCAGCTCTTTGGTTGCAATTTAAAGTTACCTGCTAAAAAATATTTAAGCTGGGCCGGGCACTGGTGGCGTACACCTTTAATGCCAGCACTCAGGAGGCAGAGGCAGGTGGATCTCTGAGTTTGAGGCCAGCCTGGTCTACAGAGTGAGTTCTAGGACAGCCAGGACTACACAGAGAAACCCTCTTTTGGGAGAAAAAAAAAATGTTAAATTGGAAAAATAGTAACCCATGCTTCTTTCTGTCCCTTTGTGCACACCAACCTGGAATAATCTCATCACATTTTCACCTAGAAAGCTCCAGCTCCTTCTTCCCAGGTCAACTGTTGCTTCAGTTCCTAAAAACCCCTTAAAATGGCTTTTTTCTCATTCTTACACAATCTAGACACTACATGCTTCTGTGTGATTTACAAGCTAGAATGACTTTAACACTTGGCTCGTTGTTATTTTTAGTCAGGATGTCTGTAATCCCGGATGGTCTGGAACTCGATATGTAGACTAGGCTGGCTTCTAAATTGGTGATTCTCCTGCCTCAGCCTCCTAAATGCAAAAATACAGGCATGTTCCACTATGCCCAACTGGCTTTCATTTATTTGTTTTTTTGAGACAGAGTTTTACTTTGCAGCTCAAGTTGGCTTGGAACTTAGAGCTATCCTCCTGCTTCATCCTCACAGTGCTGAGATTATAGGTACAGGGCACCATGCCCAGGCAGCTTTTGCATTTGTAGCTTTTTACTTTTACTTATTTAGAAATGGGTATTATGTAGCTGAGGTTGGCCTTGAACTTCTGGTCCTCCTTCCTCTACCTCCCAAGGAGAGCTGGGATTAAAGGCCTGTACTACCACGTCTTGCTTTTCAACACCCCACACACACTCGCCATTTTTGAAACATGGTCTCATTATACAGCCAGGTTGGAACTCACTTATCTTTTTTTAAAATTACACGTACTTATTTGTGTGTACATGGCGCACACAGGCAGAGAACAGCCTAAGGAAGCCATTCTCTCCTACAGTGTGGGTCCTGGGGACTGACTCAAGCAGTCAGGTTCAGTACCAAGTGCCTTTGCTCAATACACCATCTCAAAAGACGCTGGGTGAGGGGCTGGAGGAAAGGCTCAGTAGTTAAGAGCATTGGCTTCTCTTCCAAGTACTCCCCTCACTGACCACAAACACTTATAACTCCTTTTAAGAGAGCCAATGCCCTCTTCTGGCCTCCAGAGGGACTGCATGTACACGGTACACAGACGTAGATGCAGGCAAAACACCCATACCCATAAAAATAAACATCTTTTAAAAAGCAAAGGAAGCTGCAGGGGCGTGGTGATGCTGTGTGTGGTGGTCCAAGCACGGAATCCCAGCACTGGAGAGGCTGAGGGGAAGAACTGTGAGTCTGGGGCCAACTAAGTACAAATGAAGAACACATTTCAAAAAAATGTGCAAACAATGAAGGCTATGAAACTATATAAATTCAAAATGTAATGCTCACAAATAATGCTCTAATAAACACAGCCATTTGTTTATTAATATGCTGGCTATGGCTGTTTTCACACGAGCAATGCAGTTTGCTTCAAAGATAGTATCTTACAAAACCAAAAACACTGACCCTTTGCAAAGGAAATTTTTCAACTCCTGTTATACTATAATTACTACCATTTAATCCTGTTTAAAATTTCATCAAACTCTCAATATCACTTAAAATTCTAGTTTGTTTCTTAAAAAAAAGTTCAAGTGATTTTATTACATCACTGTTAGTGTTCGTGCACTGTTAGTGTGTTTGTGCAGACGCCCACAGGCTAGGGCAAGGGGTGTGAGCTTAGAGTTTTCTCCTCCTTTGTAGGTTTTGTATTTGTTTTTGCTTTTTGATTTTTCGAGACTGAGTTTCTCTGTGTAGTTTTTGGTGCCTGTCCTGGATCTTACTCTGCAGATCAGCCTGGCCTTGAACTCACAGAGATCTGCCTGGCTCTGCCTCCCGAGTGCTGAGGTTAAAGGTGTGCGCCACGACCACCCGGCTGTAGGTTTGTTTTTAAAGACCGGGTCTCACTCATGGACCTTATGCTTCTGCCTCTTAAGTGCTGGGATTACAGGCATGGGGTAGTACCGCCTTTCTAGTTTATTTTTTCACTTATTACACATTACAGGGATATAAATGACAAAAGGCCAGGGCTTCCTCCATTCTGCCAGCCTGTGCCAAGCACAGGGCCTGGGACACAGTGGATAAATAAATACTTAAGACTCTCTGGGCATGGTGGCATGTGCCTTTGATCCCAGTACTTGGGAGGCAGAGGCAGGTGGATTTCTGAGTTCGAGGCCAGCCTGGTCTACAGAGTGAATTCCAGGAAATCCAGGGCTACACAGAGAATAGAAAGGAAAAAAAGAGGGGGTGGGGAAGTAAGGAGAGAGAGAGAAAGGAAGACAGGCAGACAAGCAGGCAGGGGCGGGCCGGTGAAGGCAAGCAACAAGGCTTAAGAACTACTGGAGGGGCTGCACCAGCTTCCACATCCCAAGAGGATGGATGGACCCAGGAACGATTGTTTAAAGTGCCAGTATCTCATGTCTTCCTGCAAATGTTCATGACTTTGCTCACCGGAAGAATCTTCATCCACGTTCTCATACTGCAGAAGTCGATCTAGAAGGAAACTGGGAGAAGCGGGAAACAGAATGATTATTCTCATTTTAGCAATGTTCTCTGGCTAGATAGCTATCTAGTTCCTCCTAGACGGCCCACTGGATCCTCCTGGGAGTGCACGCATTTGTGGTCCTATTCCAGGATGGAGAGAGAACGAGGATTCCCTAGGTGTAGCATCGCCCGTGTCCCTCAACAAACCTTACCTCTTGTCCCGGGAAACCTTCAGCAATTTCCTCTGCGCCTTCCTGAGCTCCTCCTGGAAGCACTCGTGTTCCTGTATCGGACAGGGAGGGTGCTGAGCTAGGAGCAATCCGTAAAAGGCCCAGAACCCGGAGACATCTCTCCCTACCTACCCCCTTTACTACATGGGTAAACTGAGGTCCTCTCAGCTCTAGGCCTCACACTCCACAACTTCCCCACACCAGTACTCACGTAAATGAGGAACTTGAGTTTCCGCTTCAGATTCCTGTATTTCTTTTTGTAGTCCACTTCGCCGTCCGCTGGTCCGTTCATGACCCGCCTGGGAATATCGCCCCAGAGCACAGTCCCGCTAGCCAGAGCCAAGTCGGCCCGGCCTCTTACACTTCCACTTCCGGAGACTTGGCAACGCCGTACGAAGCGGACTACAACTCCCGGCGTGCTCCGCGCGCAGGGAGCGTCTCCCACCGCCCGCCTTCAGGGGAAGACCTGGAAGGAACGCTGCTTCCAGTGGCTTCGCGGTCCGCTGAGGTCACAGAGGAGCCGGACGCTGAAGGGCGCAGTTACTGGTTCTAAACTTATTTGGAGTCTTAAAAGAACCAGAAATTCGGTGTGTTGGCGAGAATACGCTTCCCCTCCTGCCTTTCGAAACAACGGAGACCTAACTTGGTGATCCTGACTACAGAGCAGCGTGACGAGTTGATTACGTTACACCCAGAGATTTCCAGGGGCGAATCGGCTTCTAATGAGACTTTTAATAACTAGTTTTAAGAAAGAGCAGAAACCTCGAGACCCACCAGCTGCTTAGGGGAAGCAAGATCTGGCAAAGTTCGAGGTCCCAGGGCTCCAAGTCGGTGGCCCAACGGCCCCGCCCCTCACAAAGCCGCCTCACTGCGCGTGCGCACTGAAGGCGGCCCGGAAGAAAAAAAGGCGGGAGCCACCAGTCCCCGGCGGCGCAAAATGGCGCCGGGAGGTGAGATGCCCGAGTTCAGGCGCAGCTTCTTCCGAGGTTGCCCTGGCCTCAGGTGCATAGGGTGTTAGAGTCTGGGTTGGAAAGGGCAGGGGTTGGGCTGGGACTCCTGTCTTGGCACGTGTCTTTGGAGCACGGCTACGCACTCCATTGTGCGACTTAAATTTTTGAGCCAAGTGGGCCGGGATCACCTTGAACCTGAGGAGACGCAGGCGTTGAAGTGGCTGGTAGAGGAAGAGCTGCTGAAGATGCAGGTGTGGACGTGTGCCTGGGCCAGGCGAGACAGGGTTTGTTGCTGAGGGGTTGGGACAGGTCACAACCTTGGTTCGGTTTGCCCTCATGCTGCACCCACAGGCGGATGCTGGTACCAAGGAAGGAAAGCTAGACTTTATCAAAGTGAAGAGGTCTCCTGCTCCCTGCAGTGACCCAGAGAGAAAAAGGTTCCGCTTCAATTCAGAGTCAGGTTAGTGCCTCCTCCCCTTCTTCTCTGTGTCGTTGGTTTATTCGAAAGGCAGTGTGCATGTATTGCATTGCCAGGCAGTCGATGGGGGCAAGCACTGAGTCAGGAACCAGGTGGAGCCACAGCTCTGGTGCTTCCTGCTTTCCTTCACTCTTAACTAGAGCAGAGCTAGAAGTACCCTATCCCAAACGTCAGGAACAGGAGGACCTATCCCAGCCCCGTCCCCATGTTCCAGACTCCAGCCCCGTCCCCATGTTCCAGACTCCAGCTCTACACCACCCAGTCCAGACTGCTCAGGACCCCCAACCAAGAACAGCACAACCAAGAAGTCATGTTCCAGGAGAGCTTTAAAGAAAGCCGTTGAGAGCACAGATGAAGAGCAGCAGACAGACCTGGTTGCCAAGATGGGATTAGAGGAGAGCAGTGAGGAGGAAGGGGAGGGTCCTGTCAGAGCAAGTAAGGTCTGGAAGGGAGAGAACACTGAGGAAGAGGATGCTGTGAAAAAAGCACAGAAGGGCAGGGCTAAAAAGCAAGCTGGGGCCAAGAACAAGCAAGCACCTGGCAGAGTGGCAGCCAGGAAGCAGCAGGTCAGGGAAGAAAGTGAAAGCTGTGAGGAAGAGGCCGTGCAGGGGAGAGCAACCGCAGGGGGAGGCACGGGTGCTGAACGCCACAGGGAAAGTGAAGACAGCGACGAGGAGCCCCTAGCCAAGAAGAGGGGGCACCGGGAACCCAGACCGAGGGGCAGCAACGGGCAGAGGGTGAGCTACAAGCAGAAAACGGGAGGCTCGGGAGGCAGTGAGGATGAGAAGCAGCGGGGGGCGGAAAGTAATGGGGACAGCAGTGGGGAGGAAGAAGGGAGCTCCCCGAGGAAAAGGAGCAAGGACAGGCCCCAGACCGCGAGCAGTGAGGATGGGGGAAGCAGCCTACGGGAGCTAGCGACTGCCCAAGGAACTACAAAGACAGGCACACCAGACAGCTGTAATGGCGAGAGTGACGGCCAGGCAGGAGAGCGCACCAAAGAAGAGAGGAGGAACCGCTCTTCCAAGAAGAGCTCCAAGAAAGGCAAGGCACGAAGTTCCTCCTCCTCATCAGATTCCAGTCCAGAGCCCACCAGCCAGAAGGTGAGAGGGCACGCCAGGTGGGTGGCCTCCTGGTGAAGAGGCTGGACCTTGAGCCGCACATTCCTTCTTAGGCTGGGTCTCGTCGTGCAGAAGACCATCCAGCTGTGGTGAGACTAAAGCGTTATATTCGGGCTTGTGGTGCCCATCGAAACTACAAGAAGCTGCTGGGCTCCTGCCGCTCCCACAAGGAGCGTCTGAGTGTCCTCAGGGCTGAGCTGGAAGCGCTGGGCATGAAGGGTGAGACTGGTATGCCTGAGAGCTGCTGGAGGGCCTGGGCACTGGGGAAGAGAGGCTCACCAGCCACTTCTCTCCAGGCAGTCCTTCCTTGGAGAAGTGTCGGGCCCTGAAGGAGCAGCGAGAAGAGGCAGCTGAGGTGGCTTCCTTGGATGTTGCCAATATCATCAGCAGTTCAGGTAAGGAATTTCCTCTTCAGGAAAGGAAGAGGCCGGGGTCAGGTAACTAATTTTCCTTCCCCACCTCCCAGGCCGATCACGAAGAAGTAATGCCTGGAACCCTTCAGGGGAAGGAATCCCCCCAGGGGAGCTTTATCGCCGAACCCTGGACTCAGAAGAGGAGCGACCACGCCAAGCACCTCCAGACTGGTCCCATATGCGGGGCATCATCAGCAGTGATGGAGAGAGCAGCTGAACTCCATGCCCCAAGGTGGACCTTGCCCTGTTATACAGAGAGCCTGTGGCCCTGAAGCAGCTTTTGAAGAGAGCTAAGTTGTTGGCACAGTACTCAATTTCTTGTTCTCTAGGGTTGTTTTGGGGGTTGGTTTTTTGTTTTGTTTTTAGAGTCAATAAAGTAATGTTTGTAATTACTTCATCGCACCTGGTCCTCAACTCTCATGCCCTGTTCTTTGGGGCCAAGAAATCAGGAAGTTGCTCTTGCCACCAGCTGGTAGTCTAACTCTTTCTTAGAGATTCCCAGTAGCCCCAGTCCCTGGCCCGCCATCCAGTCCTCACCAGGCTGTATCAGAGGACATGACTGTTCCTTCCAGTGTGACCAGGTGGTTTCTCTATCTAGTCAAACTGGCCTGAACAACGTGAAGCTTAACACACGCCCCCCCCCCCACCCTACCCCCCATCCCCAGCTCAGCTCATCTTCCTTCCCCACAGCCTCCAAAAGGTAGGTATAGTAGACCTGACTGACCAATCCGGGCATGGCGAACCTCTGCAGAATTCAGTGTCCAGGCAGGCATCCAATAAGATAAGACACGGGCTGCTGGGGAGTTTGCACCAAGGCTTTCTGAGAAGCTTCAAACCCAAAGCAAAGCAGAATTTGAGGGATCAACAAGCTGACGACCTCCCAATCATACATGCAGTAACTAAAATTACTAGGATTTTCATCACATGACCCAGTGATATACAAGGAACACTATGGCTTGCTCCTCGTCAACCCTTCACACACCCCTTACACAGAAAGGGAGAAGTCCCGGGGTCTGTTAGAATAACCAACAGTTTATTAAAAGCTTGCCCTAGGGCTCTGTGCCAGCCCCATGGCTGAGAGGGGCTCCCATGGCTGCTCCCAGGCTTGGCAGCAGCCCTTTCCAAGGTCCTTCCCTTGTCCCCCGCCCCAGCCCTGACCCCAATTAAAAAAAAAAAAAAAAAAAAAAAAAGACAAGACGGCACAGGACGTCAGACAGCAACAGGAGATTGGTGCAACCCAGGCGTCCTGACTTCAGGAGCCCCAGTCCTTCTGGAGGAAGGCCTCCTCCCATTCTTCTTGCCTTGGGCACCAGACCTGCTCTGCCATATCCAGATTTGGGGACCCTGTTGTCCCCAGATCATGGCCCCATCACAAGGGTTGTATAGTTCTCTGAATATAATAATATATCTAGACCCACCCTTCCCCTCCCCCAGGGGACCAGATGAATATTTGACACTCACAGTTCCCACCTTTTGTAGGTGGTGATGGAGAGAGACCCTGGCACCATGGTGGGGAGGCAGGGCTCCTGGTCAGCCTTGGGGCACCAATGCCCAAGCTGGCCTGGGCTCACTGGCCAGCCCCAAGAAGCTCATGAGATGTGGAGGTCTGATGGGGGAGCTGGAGACAACATCCTGTCCCGCCACCACTGGGTAGGCTTCAGCACACTGCCTGTAGGCTCAGGCACCACCCACTCCCACCTTGCCCTATTCCTCTGCTCACCACCCTACACTTCAGGAATAGAAGTGGGAGGAGCCGTTGAGGATGTGGGAAGCAACACTGGTGCTTCGGCTCAGCGGCCCTGCTACTGCAGCAGGTGGGCCCACGTTCTCACTGCTGCTGCCCCCTGATGCCGCCCGCCTCAGGGGTTGAGGGCTGTTTCTTAGCAACAGCAGAGCCCCTCCACGGGGTGTTCCACTTTGTGTTGGGGGCCCTAGCCAATTTGGAGGCCCCGGGGGAGCCAACAGAGCTGGCTGACGCCAAGCTGGTGGGGGCATGCCTGGTGGAGGAGGGCCATGGCTCCAGTGGGCCCCTGAACGGGGAACTGGACGGGAGGGCCAGGCAGGGGCTGGGGGTGGAGCTGGATAGCCCTGGGCAGCAGCTTCGGCTGGAATGCCCCCTAGAGCCATGCTGGAGAAGCCCAGCCTCATGCTCTCAGCATCAAAGGCCTCAATCTCACGGGCCTGCCGCTCAAGCAAACTCCGGATTCGCTCAGAACGCCCCGTCTGCAGGGCCAGCAGCTCTTCTTCCACCTGGGACACCCAAAACAGGGGTGAGAGTCCTGGAATGGAGACCCCTCTTTCCCTTTCCCATCTTGGGGGGCAAGCCCCTTACCCGTTGTTCTAGCAGCGCCCGCCTCAGTGCTACTCTCTGTTCCAGCTCCCTCAGCTCCCGTTCGTGCTGACTCTCTGTGCGGATCTTGATCTTGCTCTGGTAAGCATTGAGGAGCTCCAGCTCCTGCTGGAGCTGCTGCCGTAGGGCCTGAAACTCTGCCTCTTGGGTCTCATCAAGCCGGAGCTGGAGGACAGGGAGGAGAGGGTTTAGGGACCTCCTCCTCTATCCCCACCATCCTCCCCTGCCCCAGTAGGCCTGGGCCCTAAGGTGGCAAGGAGCGGCAGTCTCAACCTCTACCAGAATGGAAGATGGTCATACCCTGTGGTACAGCAATTACACTTGCAGGAATCTATCCCCCAGGTATACTTGCACATGTGCGCGAAGTGTTCACGGAAGCGTTGTGATAGCAAAATGCTGGAAACAACCTAAATGTCCACCAATAAGGGATGGGTTAAATAAATCATGGTACAGCCATTCCATGGAAAATTCTATACTGTATAAAAATGAGATGTGATATGTATACTGACATGGAATGATGTCCAAGAAATAACTGGGTGGAAAAGGGATGTCAGAAAACTATGTCAAGTCTGATTCTACTGTGTTTAAAATGTTTATGTAATTTTCCAGATACTACGAAAGTTAATCACTACAAAATTACCTCTGAGAGGTGGCACTGAGTGGGAATGGGGCCCTCTAGCTCTTTGGACTCAATGTGCATTTGAAGCGGCCCACTCCAGTGCTGTGTACAGTTTTCCTAAGAGCAACCTTCCAGATTCCTGAAGTCTGAGTAAAAGGCCTGAGAGCCAGCCACTCACTGTAATCTGCTCCCCTGCTCCCTGTTCACACAAAGTAAACTCAGGTCCAGAAAAAAATATTACAGCCATTATTTCCCTTGGTGTTTCTTGGCAGAGCAGGCAGGATGACTTTGTTAAGACATTAGGAAAATAGTAAGAGAAATAATAAGACCACTGAGAAGAATATGAAATAAAACCACTATGAAGTAAAAGAACACCCGAGTGTCCTAAGTCCAAAAGTTCTGTTCACACCTCCCACCTTCCTTTGCCACAACAAAGTTTAAAGCAAAGACCAGCCTCCATAGTCTCCCTCCCAGACCCCAGGCCTCACCGCCTGTGAGCTGAGCATCTCTGAAATGGACTGGTCATACTGCTCGGCCAGGATCGCCAGCTTGCGCGTCTGTTCCTCCTTGAGCCGCTTAAGGAGGCTCTTGTGCTGAGCTTTGGGCGTGGTCTCCAGCAAGTGTGCTCGAAGAGCCTTGTATTGCCGCGTCTGGATCTTACACGTTTCCTGGAACTGCTTCTTGATCTGCAGCTCCTTTGACTGTGCAGTGAACGGATCGAGGGGAAATGGGGGCAGGGGAGGAGGAGGAAGAGGAACAACGAGGGGAAGGAAGAAAAGGAGGAAGGAGACAGAAGCAGAGACAGGGAGAGGGAGAGAAACAGAAAACATGTTAGACAGAGGGGGCGGGGGGAGCTGTACACAGACAGACGCGGAGAGATGGAGCTGTTGAGAGATCAAGAACATCTCCATGGGCAAGGGAGGCGGAGAACAAGAGGTTCTGAGAGTACGTCAGAGTTGCACGGATGTCACAGACAGGGAGCTGAGAATCTTCACAGAGGACTGCGTACACAAAAGCTCTGATCATGCAGAGGGAGGGAGAGAATATCACCCTGGGATAGAAGCATGTGATCAAATGTTTAGGAATGTCAAGACTGAGTGAGAGACCGAGGAACACACAACATTGACGAAAGGGCAATACAACTAAGGGCAGGCAGAGGAAGGCCTAGGTCCAGCACCTCAGGAAGGCAGGAAGAAGCACTGTGCTGAGGGGTGGGTAAGAGGTCACCCCAATTAGGTCACAGAAGGGGAAGGGCAGCAGGGGTTGGCCAGAAAAGGTCTGAGAAGTTCCACTGGGAGCAGCTGCCACCCTGACAAGACCCACATATTAGCCCAGCCCAACATACTTCGTCCCCACTCCAAGCCCACAGCAATCCCAGGCCTCTAGTCTGCACCTTCTACCTGGTCCCAACTCACCACCCTTGACGTAGAGGGTCTGCTGTCCCAGCCCCCAACCCTGTAGACTAATGCCTCCCCAGGTGACAGACGCAGCTCCAAATCATGTCGGCAATGGGTTCACAGTAAAGGAAGGGGCAAAGAAACCAAAAGACTTTACCCTACATATTCTCTGCACGGGTCTCACACTGGAGAACTGTGAGATCAGGAAGTTCTGGGAAGCTCACGGGCTCACAGCCCAGAGCTGGCTGTGGTCATGGTGCAATGACACTATGAAGGCAGAGGATGAGGCTGAGGAGGGAAAGGTGTGAAGACAACGGAGATGTGGTGAAGAGGTCATGGAGCTGAGGGCCAAGGGTCCAGATTCGGGGCAAACCAGGGAGGCTAGGCGGCAGGACAAAGCAGACAGAGGCAGCCTGGGCCAAAGGTATAGTTCCGCTCAGATATTTTATTTGTGTTTTTCTTTTCTTTTTTCTTTTTTTTCTTTTTGGTGGAGGGGGAAGGGGACAGGTTGGAAGGGAGACAGAAAAACAAAATCAAAGAGGGGAAAAAACCCCATGACTTCCCTCCCTGCCACCCCTGGCCCCAGGCCTGAGCCGATGAGGGTGAGGATGAGCACACACACAGCAGGGGAACAGCAATAACTTAGGGGACTGGGGGAACACAGAGTGTCATTTCTGGACTCCACAGTAGAGGAGGCTGCCTGTCTCGAGATCTCTGGGGCTGGGACTGGACCTGGGGAAACATACTGAGGAAGAAAGGTCAGAGGGGAGGAGAGACTGGGGGACTGGAGAAGCTTCACTGAGTCGTGGGAGATAAAGTGCTCAATGCCCTATATTTGGGTGGAGGGTGGAACTGGTTACCTCCAGGGAGGCAGGGCCCTGCGGGTCTGAGCTCTCCGCCCAGCCACAGTCCCTGGTGGTAGCTGTCGGGAAGCAGAGAGCCCAAGACGGCGCTGGCTGCGTGGAAGCAGCCGAGGGATACGACTGGGCCGTTCGCCTTTAAGCAGGCCCCAGCTGGCTAGTGTGTGAATA